AGTTTTGAGCCTCGTTAGCAGCGCAATCAGTTCCGCTTCATTGGTTGTTTTTATACCACACGGATCTGCAATGTAGAAAATACATTGTCCAAGGTGATTCCTTACCACACCTCCAAAGCCTGTTATCCCCGGATTCCCTAAGGAGCTCCCATCACAATTTAGTTTTATACTTCCTAATCCAGGAGCAATCTATCTTCCCATGTGTCTCACCTTCATCACGTTTTGCATCATTAAATTCCTCACGTTCACTTCCATGTCAACCTTCGAAACCCCAAAACGTTCCTTCTTAATAAAGAACTAACTCCAAATTGTATGCTGAATTCTCTTCTTCAACAAATCCCTTTCCATTACCAACCTCGCAAACACCCCTCTATTCCTTTCAACCAGATCTCCCAAAGGACTGTTGCCCTTCCAATCATGAAGATCAATTTTCCAACCTTTGGCAGTCCATCAAAAAACATATATTCAATAATATTGATGCAGCTTTGGGGCAATGGTTCTTCAATTCCAATAATTTGAAGAAATTAGCTCCATATATCATAAGTAAACGGGCACTATAAGAATAAGTTGTCACCACTTTCATCACACTCCTTGCATAACATACAAATATTTGTCATTATACTCCCTCACTTCATAAGCTTATCAACTGTCAGGTACTTCCTTTGAAATAACACCCAAAGAAACACGTTCACTTTTTGTAGAATCCTCCAATACCATATTTTGCGCAACGAGTCCTTATTCCACCTTATCCTATCATAGAATGGAAGATTATATGCTGATTTCACATAAAAGACCCCATCACTTTCAACCTCCCACACCAAGTCATCAAAAAAGTCTTGATGTAACTTCACATTTTTCAGCAGTCTAAGTAACTCTTCCATCTGCAAGATAAATTCATCATTAACCCTATTATACGCACACTTTATATCCCAAATTCCCCTCTTTCTGCACTATACCTCACCTACTTTAGCCCTAGGGTTAGATGATGCATTGTAGATCAAAGGAAAAGAATACCTTAACGGAGTCTCCCCAATCCATTTCCCGTGCCAGAATGGAGTCCTAAGACCATCCCCCACTGCCCATCTTGAACAACTCAACATGAACTCTATTCTACATAACATCTTTCCAAACCCTTGACTGCAACATCGAACTCTTATTATTCTCCAACCACAAGCTATCTCTATTCTTTCCATATTTATCCTTAATAACCACTTTCCATAGAGCCTCCTCACCATCCATAGATCTCCAAGCATAATTAGCATATTTTACTCTCCTAACTCCAAGGCCTCCTTCAGGGACCGGTGTACACACTCTGTCCCAACTCACCAAGTGGTACTTCTTCCCTCATCTGATCCCCAAAGGAAGTTTCTCATCAGTCTTTCAATAACCTTTGAGACCGCAGAGACATTTGAAACACAGGTAAATTAGAGAGTGGAGCCTTAATAAGGACCGTCTTGCTACCAAGAGATAGATTTTTTACTTCCAAAAATCTAATTTGGCATGCATGCTTTCAATCACAGGATCCCAAACCGACAGTCTGAGATTGGCAAGCCATTACCTAATGGGAAATGCTTCCACTTTACACCCCAAAACATTAAATAATTGGTTCACGATCTCATTCTCACATGTCACACCAATAATAGAAGTCTTCTCAAAATTCACCTTGAGACCTAATCCCACTTCACAGCACAAAAGCATTCTTCCAATATTCATAATCTGTTCTACAGATACATAATAAAAGAGAAGCAAATCATCAGCATACTGAAGGTAAGAATCTGTTGATTATTTAGCTGAGACCTTAAACCCCTTAAACCGGCCCTTGTTTACCACATTTCCAATGCTACGGCTAAAAGCCTCTCCCATTATAGTAAAAAGAAAATGGGACAAGGGATCACCTTGTCTCAACCCCCTCAAGGCTTTAAAAAAGCCTTTTGGGCTTCTTTCCACCAGAATAAAAAAATAGGTACTCACTAAACAACACGTTATCCATCCGCACCACTTTTCCCCAAAACCTATGCATCTCATTACTTCTAAAAGCACATCCCAGTTCACCCCATCATATGCCTTCTCCAAATCCAACTTTAACAAAACACCAGGTTCCCCCAATAAATTGATTGAATAAATACATTCATGAGCAATGAGAACCCCATCAATAATATCTCTCCCTTGAATAAACGATGATTGTGGACGCACCACAACTCTATTCAACACATTCTTCAATCTTTCAGCCAGTGTCTTAGCAAAAATTTTATACATGCTTGTTAACAAGCTAATAGGGCGAATATCCGATATCCTTGAGATAGAGCCACTTTTCGGAATGAACGCTATATATGTTGAATTTATTGCTTTATTGACAACACTCATTTCTAAAACCTCATTTACCATCATCATCAAGTCCATTTTCATAACATCCCAGAATATTTGAAAAAAACCTAAGAGGAAATCCATCAGGTCCTGGAGCCTTATATCCCGGCAAAGCAAAACAACTCGCTTCACCTCCTCCTCAGATACCCATCCTTCCAACAATCTAGCCTCCTCCAACGACAACCTTTGAAAATTCAACCCATGCAATGTAGGAGCAAAGCCATATCCTTGGTAAATAAATTCTGAAAATGGCTGACAAATTTCATCTCTCATGTGTCTTTATCACCATCAACCACCCATTCAAATCGAACTCCTGAAATATCATTTTGTCCTCTCCTAGAATTGACATTTGCATGAAAATATTTTGTGTTCAAATCACTTTGTCTTAAATATTTCACTGTAGATCTTTTCCGCCAATATATTCCTTTTGATCTCAGCGTCTCATGAAGAGAACTTAGCAAGCCCACCTCCTCTCTAAGACCAGTTGTAAAATTACACTCATTTTGAATCTGAACTTCTACTCCAAATCTAACATGATCTTCTGAATCCTTTTTAAATTTGGAACTTCGTCTCTTCTTTTCATTGAAGGAACTTATGCTTGATACTAATCAAATTTTTATGCACGTGAAAGCCATAGCACTCCAAAATAATAGAATTTTACCATGTGTGCTTAATAATTTCAACAACCTCCTTTGCATCTAACCAAACCAAGTCTAACTGAAATGGTTTAGGACCAAAATGACAGTTCTCAGTATGTCAACATAATGGGATTTGATCTGAAGAGAGCTTAGTAAAAGCCACAACATGAGCCAACATAAAATGTTGCTCCTCATTCATTAGAGATCAGAAAGCGATCAATCTTACTTTGAATCAGATTGTCGATGCTATTATTCAACCAAGTATAATATGCCCCACTAACAGGTAAGTCAATAAACTGATGCTGAAAAATGAATTGATTAAATAACCTCATAGATAAATTAAGAGAAGTAGAAGATGAAATTTCAGCTAGCCATCTAATCATGCTAAAATCACCACCAATACAAAACAGCATATCCACATCAGCAATCAAATTGGATAAAATATATAAAAAATCTTCTTTTAATTCATTCGCATTTGGTCCATAGACATTGCAGCACATCCAGACAAACCCATCCACTACCAAGACCTCTAACATTCGAACTACATATCTTCATTAAAATGTGATGAGGAACATATCCTGACGGGACCAAAACCACCATCAAAGCTAGCGGAGGAAGAGCTGGACTCAGTCACCTCGATTGCATCTTTGCCTCTCATTATTAGCAATAACAAGCTTCTTTGGTTGAGGCTCATACCTGGCCACCAACCGAAGCAAGAATCTAATCAAAGTTGTAACAATCCGTCCACCACCAGATGAGACTTCCCCCACATCATTAACTTCCTTGCCCACACCCATCTCAGCTTTCTGTTTACAACTCTCTTTAGCCTTCTTAATCCTCTCTTTAATCACTTCTAAAACCTGAGCAATGGGAACATTGGACCCCAATCCAATATCATCCCACATTACAAAGATTTCTTCCAAATTATCATCAAGTACCCCAATTGGAACACCCTTTCAATTAACATCTACTTCAACATCAATAACACCCTCTAAGTTTCCACCCGCTACGATCTCCCCCTCTTCCCTATCTTCATCTACCCCGTCAATTAACCGTGGTTGCACCTCTGCCAAACCATCACCAACAGCTCCCTCATCAACAGCTTCACCACCTGCCCCATCGCCATCCACAATATAAAGCATACCTTTATCTTCTTGATCTCCCCCCCCCCCCCCCCGAAACCCCCAAGCAATGGAAGCAAAAGCTTACAATTGCCCAACCCCAAAGGCATTGCAGGCGACAGAAGCTTAACTTCATCTTCTGAGTTACTATCCTCGACCCTTGAAGAGAAAGCAAAAGATCAGCCGCCGAAAGCATTTGGATTGGTACAATGTCATCCCCCACCCCTTCTTCGATGACCCAAGGACCCCGTATCAGCCTCCTTCGAGCAGCCCTTCTAAAAGGCAAAAACATTTCCATGCTCTTCCACCAAGTAGCCGCAAGCACTGTAACAATAATCTTATAAAGTTTGAGTAGAAAGAACAAAACAACCACTATTTCTTCTAGAGAGAAGGTCATATCTCTCTTCCTACCTCCCAAAGCATATTTTCCAACAGCACGTTCATGTCCTTTAATACACCGAAAGACCTCCCTTATATTAAAAATTAAACCACCAATGCTAACCAAACCCCCAACTCAAGCAATTGATAAATGTTAACCCCACATGATACTTAATTAATAGGGACAACTATGTCCCCAAAGGTGATCTCTGCACCATCCTTAAAGGTAGAATTTATTTTCCAAATATCCCCTTTAATTGTCATTTGAATGTCTTTATCGCCTTGATCAGCACTTCTACCACCTCTTTTTAAGCTAGTGGATCCCATCTCACGTCTTTGAAAGGCTATTTGGTCATCTTTCTTTTTTTTAATTTACATAACTGTCACCCATTTGGAGACTTAAAGGGCTAAAATAGTCCCATCCGATTTATTATGAAACTCAAAATCAATAGAAGACGAACAAGCACTGAGATACACTTCCAGCGTTTAAACCATAAAAAGAAAAACGAAAAAGGGCGAACCTTAGCAACCACAATAAAATTATCATCCAAATGTGTAGATAGATACCTATCACAAATCAGACCATGTCTTTAAAAGCGGGCCTAACCATCCCTATCACACATCAGACCATGTCTTTAAAAGCAGGCCTAACCATCCCGACCAAACCAAAGCTATATATGCAAATGTGGTAGTGTTTAGCATTGAATTTACTCTGAACATGGAAGGAAAGCACTTCCATGACAGAATTACAAGATACTCATTGCTTCGGCTGGGCACAAGCGCGCTCCATACTCATTTCTTCCCGCTTTTCTTGAGCCCCGCACCTCCAAAGGCTCCCTTCTGCGATGCCTTGGCCCTCAACTCTTTGAGTGCCTGCCACACAAAAGTAAAATCACTCTCTCTCCCAAAATTCCAACAAAATGAATCTGCAAGTCCATGGACAATTACCTTTTCCTCCTCTTTTTTCTTCTGAATATTTGCTAGATCATCCTGCAATAACGAAAAAAATAAAAGAGATAAGTATACGGTCCAGTAGACATCCCAAAATAGAGGTTTTGTTAGCAAAAATCAATCTCAATCATAAACAGTTACAATACATTGTCATCAAGATAAAGACCACAACTTAGTGTCCTCTATATTGCTACTACATCCAGTTAACAACTCAACACCAAAAATGTTTAGGCAAAACCACAATGTTGATAAATGCCAAAAAAAGAAGTTGAAGAAAATAAAGGTGCGATGAAAGAAGTGCATTCAATAATCATTTTTGTTGCTCTATTAAATATTAACATCATCTTTCCAGTGCCAAATCTTAGCCTCACCCCTTGGAGTTCAGTAAGGAATATGCAAAACAAAAAGTCAACATTTATCCAAAAAAAAAGAATACGCAAAACAATTTAATTACATTTCAGTTCAATGACAGGATTTACATCAGTCTCTTTTCTTTTCTTTTTTTTTCCTTCTTTTCTTTTCTTCTATTTTTTATTTTTTGGATGCCTCTCAGGTTACACATAGAGTAATGTGAGAATGATAATAAGGAGGAGCATGCATCCAAATAAGGTGAGAATGGAGTTATAGTAATAGAGCATGATTTGGTAAGCTGGAAACATATAGAAAGCCAATGGAAATTTGCGATGCATACTGTAAAAAACAAAGGAAACACAATATTTAATGAAAGGTTAGGAAAGGTATGGTCAGGGCAGGGCAAGGGGCTAAGAAACGCGCCGTGTGCTGCTTTAGATGCGAGATCTGATTCCCTCTCCAAGCTAGGCAACAAAAACAACCGTCCGAGCCAATATGCACTTTCGACATGGCAGGTCAAAAAGCCTTTCCGTCCCATCCCGGCTAGGCTTACAATGCTTTCTTCTTTTTTTTCCTTATTGATTTGCTTAATATATAGACCTTAAAATGCTGATAAAATCAAAGGAGGCAGAAAAAAATGCATGAAAACTTGAGGAAAAAAATGCATGAAAACTAGGCAAAAAAATGCATGAAAACTAGAGGAAACAAAGCGAAAATAAACATAAAAAATGTGCAATAGTTTGACGGAAAAAGTTCATATAAGGTTGAGGCCCTAAACACTGAAATTAAGGTGCACCTCAAAAATTCACTAGAAGAGGTTGTTTCGATGTCAAAAAACTCTCAAATCAATCATCTCGACCTCGAGATGTATAGTCGTGCGATTTCAAGTCTAGGAAATAGCGCATATTGTAATGCATTATCTGCGTCATCAATTTTCAATATTTTCAAGTGTTTATAGATTTGCTCAATTTATACTATTTTTTAACCTCTAAATTTTATAAATAAATTTTCAGGCTATAACAAAGAGTTTTGCTACTGAAAAATCATCTTTCGACACCATCTAAAGGAACGCCTTACTTTTGATTGTTTAGGGCCTCAACCCCATACAAACCACACCCTAGTTTGAATCCCTTCCCTTAAAAGTTGAAGCAGGATGCACGAGTTTCTAAAATGTGTTTAGCCCAGGGCAAACTTGTCACAGTTTTTCAATTTTCCCTATTAACATTCAGCAAACATGCCAGCAAACATGCCGACTACGAATGGACAAAGAACCATGTAATTTCTTGGATGAAAAGGGAACAGAACTGGACTCATAAACAGGAAGGCATTTCCATTTCCATTTCCATGAAAGCAGGAAAGACTTCTAGCATGCACAGGATATTACAATATGAAAATGAGGCGTCAATTCCAAAGAAATCATATATGAAAAATAAAATTGCTTTATGTCCATGTTTTTCTCGTGTGATCTCGTTGATACAATTGACCAGCTTTTATTGAACCCTTCGCACTCTAGAAATGAATAAGAACATATTTAGGAGACGGAAGATGCTAGAGATTTTAAAAGAGTCACAAATTAGCACCCATTCAGAATCTATGATTACTCCGTGACTTATTGTCATCAAAACAAGACAATTCTAACATATGTAGTGCTCAACACTTCAGATGGCATTGTCAACCTCCCTTTCTCCTTAAATACTTCTCACTATCTAGTCATCAATTCCCACTCCTGCTTACCAACTGCCGGATAGTTGTAACAAACAAGAACCAATATTTAGCACATTACATCTAGATCAATTTTCATACTTGTAATCCCAAGTCTAATTATTTTGGATTCACACTCCATTGATCAGGATTATCCTGAAGACCCCAAATCATTGGGGTAAGGCTTGGATGATGATGATGATCAGGATTATCCCATATGTGTTCATTTAGGGATCACTATTTTTGGCATCGAAGGTTGAAACACTAGCTAAAAAGAAACACTCTTTCAGTCAATGAATCAATATATAGGCACAATAGCCGAGTGACAGCAAAAAACAGCACAAGCAGAGAAGCCAATGAGCACTCCATTAGAGCACAAATTTGAAGACCTAAACATATCCATACCAAATCACCATGGAAGCATCAAAAGAAATGCTCAAGTATGGAATCTAAATAAATGCAAGTGTGCAAGTGGAACACAACGAAGTAAATAGATTCATCGAGAGGTAAACTTCTTCCTTTTGACCCAATAAAACAGGGCAGACGTATCATATTATCAAGCATAGACATCAATAAGCATTGTCCTAATCTTGCAAAAGGTAGAGAAAGTTTTCTTTCCAATATGCAAAGCAAGTCGAAACCATTGTGGAACAGAAGGACCAGTTTTTGTACTATTATTGGATATACTGAATTATGGTAATATTGGAGGAGACACGATCAAGAGGTGGGTGTAGGAAATTAGGCACGCTTTATAATACAAACTTTATACCAAAATATGATGGCCAACTCCAATGTGCCGCAATTTACCTTTCAATTTCGTAAAGCAAAAGAAATCAAACAACTGGAGGTGCTCAAAGGGTGACTCTCAGTGAGCCCATGGATCCTGTTATGGATATGAATCCTTATTGGAATGTGCATCACTCATCATATGTGCAAACAGGACTGGGAGAGAGATGAACATCTCAGGTTTTCCCACCAATCTTCAGCAAAGTATTGCTTTGGGGGAGGGAATACTACCCAACCCACTAGGAGATTCCTGCAAACTGGGATTTCAATATTTGTTGGCTAAGAAAACTACAATTGATGAGGTAGCTACAAGGACTTGGCTCATATGGGCTTTTGGAATAGGCTAGTCGCCTAAGGTGTCCAGGATTTTATTAACTACTGAAAAAACACAAAAAAAAAAATGAAACATGCAGGTCACATGACTGTTTCTGCACATCTGAAAATTCACAAATAAGCCTGAGCCTATAGATTAATCAATTGGAGAACAAAGAATGATAAAAGATGTGCCTATCTCTAAAGTATCTCCTCCAATTTGCTGGATTTTGAGGCACAGTGTATTGAAGACCTACTGAATAGCTGCCAGAAACCGCTGATCATTTAGCGTCTCCTAACATGTCTAGTGGGGATCAATCAGCCTGAAAATTCAAAGGTGCACTTTCCCTGCTAGGTCACAACTGTTAAAATGTTATAAATCTTCACTAATATAAGAGCCAACAGAAAGCATGGTTTCCATCTTTTATAACTGTTTCGACCTATTCTTTAGACATAAGGCAGACCCAAAATTTTCTCTTATACACAAGGCATGTCTTGATGTAACAGAAGTGAACAAGTAAAGAACTGGAACGTGGTAACTTACTTCAATCAGCATACATACGGACTGGAGGAAATAGATCTATTTATCTAGAACAAATTATATTGGTTGAATACGCCCTTGTCGATATGAATGTTGGGAAAACAAATATAAATAAATAAATATAAAACGAAATAAAACATTGTGTTGAAGTCGCATTAGATGGATAACAGTTAGAATGCCACTGGCAGAATACATCATAAAAGAGGGAAAAAATCCCGATGCACTATTGGCATGTCTAGTAGAATAAGGAAGATGAACCTATTCAAAGAATGTTTCAATGAAATCCGCCCGATCTTTCAGTCATATCCTATAATTCCATAAGTCCAGTAATATCATGTATTGACTGGATTCTTTCCCACCCATCATGATGAATTTTAATTTAAAATCTACGACTTCCAGATACAGGTCAAGATACAAACAAGAATAAGACAAATGAGGACACGACTTGGTATTTCTCAAAACACAGGATATGGATACTGATACAAGTATCCCACATGACACATATATAGGTATAGATTACATATTGTATAACATAGAGATACAATGCTACATATGTATATATCATAGTGCATAACATTATAATTTATGCAAATTATATTTTTGTAACAGTGTCCAATATCAGTATCAGAGTCGATAAACTACAACACAGGCACATTGAGCATACAAGCATATGTACATCATATTGTTCACTCGGCTCTCGTGCGTTATTGTGTTCTTTGTGCATATCAACTGCAAACCACATAAAAAGGCGAAGAACCACAGGGAAGCAAAAGTAAGGGACCAACTTTTTCGATAATGAAATGTGCAATGCGCACTTACAATAAGGGTTCATGAATTCCTTCAAACGATTTAAACGATCCTCTTAGATCGCCCATTCTATATGAATATGGGGGATGCGCACCCACTAGATCGATTGGCTGGGTAGATCCAATTAGAGGATTCAACATGATTTGTCGCAGGGAATTTAGCCCCGCCTTGCTCGCATTAAGCAAGAAGGAAAGCGTGCACAAGACCTTAGATGATCCGAGTAGACCAAGGCAATCCAATCTGAGTTGACTTTTAAGGATTCAACGCTTTTAACTTCTTCAATCCTCCCTTCTTGGAGTTGGGGGTTTCCTATGGATGTTTAGGTAATTCTATTGTACTAGATTTTTAGAGGTTTTTTTTTTGAATTTTTGCATTTTCTACTTCCTAGGGGTATTTTGGGGATTTTGAATTTTTGGGAGGGGAAATTTGGGTATTGGTGGAGTTCTCTCACTCTAGGCTTGAGGGTAGGGTGTTTCTCTTTCTAAAGTGGAATAGTTGATTTAATTCAATTTCCTAACCCTTAACAAATGGGGTTAGAGGG